TTAAAAAAAAAAAAAGAAAGCTGATGGTGCCCAGCTATCAAAAGATATAGCGTGTGGGGTCTTAAAGGCTTGAAGATAAACAAGCGGCCATCTAGCTTAGAAGCAACAAAGCCCACATGGAAGAAGCACACCAGCCTGTGTGACCACAAGGTGTCGAAAGATCAGGTATCAGGCATCAAATAACAAAAAAATCATATCATTGTAAATAAGGTTGCGTGCAGAGTGGAGACCTAAAGCCCATCTGTAGGCAACTGGACACCCCCTTACTGAAGCATCTCGGGGACATGACGAGCCAGTCAGGTTGCAGTGTAGCAACGATGAAACATACGACTTTCCTCTAGTTCTTAAATGCTTCCTCTCCCACTATCATGATCCAAATTCTACTTTACAAATCTGGCTAGACCAGAGGATGTACACTGGTACAGATAGGAACTGGAAACAGGGAATCCAGGACAGATGATCCCTTCAGGACCAGTGGTGCAAGTGGCGATACTGGGAGGGTGGAGGGAAGGTGGAGTAGAAAGGGGGAACCAATTACAAGAATCTACATATAGCCTCCTCCCTGGGGGATGGGCAGCAGAGAAGAGGGTGGAGGGAGACGTTGGACAGTGTAACTTATGACAAAACTGTAATAATTTATGAATTATGAAGGGTTCATGAGGGAGGGGGGAGTGTGGAGGGAAGGGGAAAAACGAGGAGCTGATATTAAGGGCTCAAGTAGAAAGCAAATGTTTTGAGAATGATTATGGCAACAAATGCACAAATGTGTTTGACACACTGGATGTATGTATGGATTGTGATAAGAGGTGTATGAGCCCCCAATAAAATGATTTAAAAAAAAATTATTGTCTCAAAAACCCACTGGAGAACTTCTACCTCATCCTATTGGGTCCCTACAAGTCAGAACTGACTCGATAGCAGCAAATTTGTTTTTGGTTTGATGAAACACAGTAGCTGCTAACTCCAAGGTTCAGCAGTTCGAAACCATCAGCCACTCCTCAGGAAAAAAATGAGGCTTTCTGCTCCCATAAAGATCTACAGCTTGGAAATCTAAAGGGCAGTTCCACTCTGTCCAATACGGTTGCTATGAATCAGAACTATGATAGTGGATTTTTTTTTTTTGACAGTGGATTTTACAAAGTATTTAGATTACCAGTTTGCTCTTTTGACACCCTAGCACGTTCATCTTGGTCATTGAGAAACTAGCTCTATGACAGCAGTACTAAATGCTATCTTCTCACCTTCTTTCCCATATAGTATACTCTTAGGTTCATCATGAGTCCTAGTCTCCTCATTCATCTTCTTTCACCCTCATAATGCTAATAAATAACAGGGATCAAACACCCCAAAAGTTTTATAACAACATCTCATTTCCATAACTCACCTTCAAATCCAACACGCTCAAGCAGGTTCAATGGATACCAAATTAAGGGTTTATTCCCAACTGGAAGCAGCGGTTTGGGAATGCTGGAAGTCAGGTCTGTCATCCGAGATCCCCCTCCAACTGCCATTACAACTGCTTGAAATTCCATTTTTATAAGCTGTAAGCATGGGCGGGGAGGGGGGGGGGAAATACACGTAAAAATATGTTAACAAAAATCAAAGAACACAAAACTAAGCCAATTCTACTTAGTCACTGGTGCCATATCAAATATATCACTTCCAACTGTAGTAGCTGGAGTATAAAACACTCCTTAGCTGCAATGTAAACATTTCCTTTATATATTTTTATTCATTTTTTACATAAACCCTCAGCTACAGCCTAGGAAGTGAGGCTGGGAGTGGAGAATATGAAAGGAAAATAAAAACCAAAACCTAAGCTTTGCCCTTGAGTTTCTAATAATTAAATGGAGAAGACAAATTTTAGCAAATTACAACATATAAGACAGGGAACACTTTACAAAGGGATTTTGTGCTGACTATTCTCACTTCTATGGAGCATTCTGACATTTGCTTTTCTGGCAAGCCATTCAATATACTTCTCCAACAACATAATTCAAATGCATTAAATTGTCCTCCAGCCTTCCTTATTCATTGCCGACCTTTTGCATGCTTATGAGACAATTAAAAATACTAGAGTGTACCTCAGCGCTCAAAGTTATAACTTTGTTTTTCAACACTTGTAAAGAGGTATTTTGCAGCAGATTTGTCCAATGCAAAGTGCTATTTGATTGCTTAACTGTTACTTCCACGAGCAATTAACTGTAGATCCATGTAAAAATAATACTTGTGACAACTTCAGTATTGTCTCTGTTTATCCTGATGTTGCTCACTGGCCAGGTTATAAAGGTTTAAAAAATTATTATTATTATTTATGTTGAGGTGTAATCCATACTCAAAGCTGTAATCTTTGATATCTTCACAACTAAGTGCTTCATGGCTAGTTCACGTCCAGAACGCAAGGCTGTATTAGCTGTACACTGTAGATGATTATCCTTCTTCAAGTCCTAAAGCCATGCCATCTTCATAGAGTCCAGGTTCTCGGATAATTGCTCAGTATACAGAATGAATAAACAGGTGAAAGAATACAGCTGTGGCGCACACCTTTTCCGATGTTTAAGTCAAAACAAGAATGCTTGGGTAAAAGAAAAGGGTCATCAAGGCAGGAGAAACAGAAACACGGGTACTGAATCATGACATATCAAGTTCAGGAAAAGCAAGTACTGTAGTTAGGGAGAAGGGTGGGGCAAGGAAAGAGGTGGGCAGGACAGCCTGATGATTAGGTGCACAGCGCCTACAGCTAGAGTGCCTAAGTGTGAATTGCAGCTCTCCAATTTATTAGCTATGTGAACTAGGTCAAACTACCTAATTTTCAAGCTTCAGTTTTCTTCATTTATGATAATTACAGTTGCTGCTTCATGGATTTGTGAAGATTAAATGAGCTAATCTACATAAGGAACATAAAATAATGTTCACCACATGACAAGCACTATATAATTGCTCGATATGAAGCAGAAGGTAGACAGATCATGGTAAGTCGTAGCATTTGAACCATGCTGTTTCATAATTCTTGTTTCTTGGGATATCCTTCTCCTATGCCTAGTAATCATGTATTAAACTTTTACGAATCATTTCAAGATTCATCTTGCCTATAATGCTTTTCCTAACCCTTCCTTTCTCTTCCATCACTCCTTTCTCTTCCGTGCTTCCCACTCTACCACGTGCAGATCCTTTCAGCCCTCTAAGGCTTTAATGCACGTGTTTCTTTCCTTGAAGGTGAACAAACTACAAGCAAAACTCACTGTCAACATGTCAATTCCAACGCACAGCGATCCTAAAGGACAGAGTACAAATGCCCCTTTGGGTTTCTATGACTTTAAATATTTTTGTTTACTTTAAATCTTTATGTGAGCAGTCTCATCTTTTCCCCATGGAAAAATGCAACTCCCAGGAAGTCACTAGAGCTCCTCCTTGACGGTGAGGACTGCGTGTGTATTCCCAGACCGAACTAGCATAATGTCTGCCAGATGCGGGATCAATGTTGTGGAATGAAGAGTTGTGACCCTCACAACAACCCCATAGGAAGGCCAAGTTCAAACAGGGGCAGGCGCAGCCTTAGAACCCAAGTTCCTCAGCATGTGAGGTTCCTGCTCTCAGGGAAGGGAGAGTCTGTGGTTGGCTCGCAGGAACCCTGCTACCCATCACACTGGGTATATCGCGTCTATGCGGTGATGCCACTGCCAAGACTGGGGCGATGAGAATGCCGGCAGCGTCGTGCCGGCCCCCCAAGCTCTGGCTGGAGGGGGGTCCCACGGTACCTCCGACACTGCTCGGTCGCAGCGCTAACAGCCTTCTCCCGGCCTGGACGGAGCAGGCAGCACCGTGGGCTGCGTGAGGAAACAGATCTTCGTTTACCCCCCGGGATGTCAGTGCCTCGCCTTTGAAGAACGGAACAACACAAACAGAACACACGTGGTCGAGAGTCGGAGGGTCCCCAGAACGTGGGTGAACGAAGGACCGGAGGGCCCCGAAGTGGGAAGGTAAGAAGCTGCCCGGGGCGACTAGGATGGGGCTCGGCCGCGGGCACTTGGAGCCCTTCCCTTTCCCGAAACTCGAGTCTCCCTCTGGGGCGCGGCGCAGGAGAGTCGGGTTCGCGCCCGATCCCCTTCCACTTTGGGCACTGAGTCCCCTGAGCGGGTCGGGCAGGGGCCGGAGCCGGCGGGCAGGTGGGCGGCGTGGTTCTGGGGGACTCCGCAGGGCCAACCACATCGCTCCGGCCCAACGCGGCCCGGTTCGAGAGGCCCTCCGCCCTCGGAAGAAGCTGGGCCGGTCGGCTGTGCGGCACAGGTTCCCCCCCGCGCCAGCCGGCTAGCGAGCGGCCTGGCCACCCACATGGCAAGTTTTACCTCAGCTCCCGGCGCGCGGTAACCGCTGCCTGCGCTCCGCACGCTCCTCACGCCGCCACTGACAGGCCGAAGGCGCCGCCGCGCGATGGCCGAGCAGATCGATGGGACGCGCAGAGCAGGCCCTCGGAGGAAGGAAGAATGCCGAGCGATGGATGGCAGTGGAGCTGGGTGCGGACGGGGAAGGGGCGGGGCCTCCGAGGAATTGTGGCGAGCTGGCCCGGCCCGCGCGGAACACATTGAATGGTCTACCCACAGCAGGTCAGGAACCCAGAAAGAACAAGTTATAATCTCTGCCTTCAGAAAATTAACATTGTAGAACCTGACCCGGACTACCCGTGTTTGAAAAGAGAGCTTGTTGGGGTCTTCGATTGTAGGCTGGTCAATGAAGAAATCATCAAATGAGCTTGTACCCAAGGCTTCCTATCTACTTAACGGCTAGCATAACTACTCACATCAGTGTCTTGAACCAGAATATGCTGGTACAAAACATGCAACTGTAGCCATCAGAGGAGGGATCAGGAGTTGGTGACGGTCTCACTAAGTGACATTGAACAATGACTTGAAGTGGGTCAGATGAGCATCGTGGGGATGATAACGTCCCAAGGTAAGGAGGTGTTGTCGTTGTTAAGTGCCATCAAGTCAGTTCCAATCCATAGCTACACCTTGCACAACAGAATGAAACACTGCCTGGTCCTGCTCTATCCTCACAATTGTCCCTCTGCCTGAGTCCATTGTTGCAGTTAGTTACTGTGTCAATCCTTCTCCTTGGTGCGTTTCTCATTTTCTCTGCCTCCCCACCTTACCAGTATGATGTCTTTCTCCAGGGACTGGTCTTTCCTGACAACATGCTCAAGTCCATGGAAGACAGTCTTGATACTTAGCGCTAAGGAGCAGTCTGGCCATATTTCTTCCAAGATAAATGATTGTGGAATAGACCATCCGTTGCTCATATGTAAGTTCAGGTTAAAGCTGAAGAAAATCAAAACAAGTCCACGAGAGCCAAAATAGGACCTTGAGGCTATCCCACTTGAATTTTGAGAACACCTCAAGAACAGATTTGACACATTGAACACTAATGACAGAAGTAAAAGAAGTAGTCAGTACAAAAGCTCTGAAGTGAGATCGTGTGTTCAAAGAACTGCAAGAAGGCCAATGTGGTAATTACATAATCTGGTGTCAATTTGAGACTATTAAAAGCGAAGGGGTGGAGGTTAGCCTATCAATCAGATCGCAGCTTGATGACATTTGAAGGCGAGATAGAGATAAATAGCTCACTGAAGGACAAAAGCACTCTTGCTCTGCTTTGTCTCCCTTTGAGACATTTCTGTTGACAAGCCACAGGAAGACACACTGTTAGAGCCAGAGCCTTGGAGCCTTGGAGTCACATGGAGACCCACGCCAGCGCTGAGATGCTTCTACCACCACTGGATCCACAAGACATTCCACTCACTGGCCTGTAATCTTCCTGCATTTGGTGCCATTGCATGTGTTGCGTGAGTCTCAAGAGGAATTTGGAGACTGGCATTGGACATATGGGCTAATAAAGGACTTATGGACTTGGACTGGACTGGGCTGGGATGTTCTCTTAATATACAATTACTCTTTTATATAAAGCTCTTTATTACACAAATCTGAGTGTCTCTGGATTTGCTTCTCTAGTTAACCCAGACTAACAGCCAGTGTGGCGAAGGTGGACTAAGCCAAAGGAGGAATGAATACTTGCAGAGGAGGTATCAGAGACAAGGAGCAGAACAGAAGAATTCAAAGGGCAGCTCAAAAAGACAAAGTCAAATATTATAATGAAATATGCAAAGACAGAATTAGAAAACCAAAAAGGGAGAAC